ATCCCTGTTCCCTGGTGGTCAGAGGCCTGCAAGGCGGCAATTCTCAAGCGGAAGCGGGCGTTCAGGGTTTTTAAGCGTTCTGCAACGACCAACAACCTCATCGCTTTTAAAAAGGCCAGAGCATTTGCGAAACGCACAATACGTGAGGCGAAGCGTACATCATGGAGGGAATATGTAAATGGTTTAAATCGTCACACCCCACTGAGTGCAGTGTGGCAGCGAGTTAGTCGCATTTCCGGTAGGAGCGTCTCCACTGCAGTTCCGGTGCTGAAAGTGGCGGGAATCACGATATTGAACACACAAGAAGTTTCCAACAAAATAGGTCTCGCATTTGCAGAAAGGTGCCGACATGGAACAGACGACCCACGCTTTATTCGTTACAAGGAACAAAGTGAGAAGACGGCAATCAATTTTAGAATTCGTGACTCAGAGATTTATGAGTACAACCAACCGTTCACTGTCATGGAGCTCTGCACTGCTCTTAAAAGAGCTAAGAGTGTGTCGCCTGGATTGGATAAAGTCCACAATGATATGCTGAATCACCTAAAGAAGGAGTCCCTCCATGCCTTACTTGAACTTTTCAACTACATATGGCTGCAAGATGACTTCCCAGAGTCGTGGCGGGAGCCCATTATAGTCCCGATACAGAAGCCCGGAAAGGATGGTTCCGACCCACTGCACTACCGCCCAATTTCGCTGACTTCATCCCTATGCAAAGTGCTGGAGAGGATGGTGAATGATCGTCTCATGTGGTACCTTGAAACCCACGATTGTCTTTCCAAAGTGCAATGCGGGTTTCGGAAGAACCGATGCACTGTTGATCACTCAACGATCTTAGACACAGCTATACGACATTCTTTTAAACAAAGACGTCACACGATAGCAGTCTTCTTTGACATTGAGCGGGCTTATGATACCACCTGGCGCTATGGCATTCTAAGCAAAGTACACAAGTGTGGACTCCGAGGTCACATGGCACTCTTCATTGAAAACTTTTTACGTCGTCGATTCTTCCGCGTACGAGTGGGTGGCATGCTATCTTATCGCTATGAACAAGAGAACGGTGTTCCTCAAGGGAGCGTCCTGAGCGTAACCCTGTTTGCGCTGATGATCGATGACATCGCCGACTGTCTGCCACCTACCATCAGGCGGTCATTGTTTGTGGACGACTTTGCCATCTGGTGTGCGGCATCCACAACGACGTCTGCTGAGAGGCAGCTTCGTTATGCCTGATTCGACTAACTGAGTGGAGCCTTAAGAAGGGCTTCAAATTTTCGACCACCAAGACTAAGTGCATGCACTTCTGCTCACGGATTAGAGGCTGCAGAGACCCGGAGTTGCGACTGTATAATGGCACTATCCCAGTTTCTAGCGATATTTGTTTCCTAGGCCTCACGTTTGACCGTCGGCTCACGTTGAAGCAACACTTTTAGATGGTTAAGACTAAGTGTCTCAAGCGCATGAACCTCATGAAAGCAATGTGCCGTATGACCTTTGGAGCCGATAGACGCACCCTGGTGAACCTGTATAGGGCCCCAATTCGATCAGTCATCGATTATGCTAGTCCTGTGTACGATGGTGCTCCTACATCTTCAAGTCAGGTTTTGGACACAATCCACCATACATGTGTTCGTATAGCCACTGGGGCGTTTTGTACGATCCGAACAAGAAACTTGCTGGTGGAAGCGAATGAACCGTCCTTGCCTCTTAGGAGACGACTGACTTTGAATTACGCTACAAAGGTTTCACAATTTCCGGATCACCCAGCCTTTAAGTTCATCTTCTCTCAGACGTTAATCCGTTCTTTCTTGAGGGGGCAGCCCACGTCATCGCGGCCGATGTGCCTGCGCGTCCGGGACTGACTAGACGAGTCGCTTATTGCGCTGGATGACATTACCCCGCACACTCTTCAGGACCCAACTCCGTGGAGACGTCTGAGTATTAAGTATAATTTGGAACTCTGTCAACATCTTAAAAATGACACTTCACCACGAGAGTTCCTCACGTATTCGTTGGAACATATCTCACAATACGCGAACTCATTACAAATATTTACCGATGGGTCCAAAGGCTCAACAGGAACGGGTTGCGCATTTGTTTGCGGTGACCATACCGTAGGTCTATGCCTCCCGCAGCACCTGTCAGTTTTTTCCTCAGAACTGTTTGCTATTTTAGCAGCGCTTCAGTACGTTGCTTGTCGTCCTGAAAGGGATATAGTGATTTTGACCGACTCGCGTAGTGCACTTTTATCATTAGACCCGACGGCGATGTCACGTGACCACTCATTTTTTATTCGTCAAGCTGGGAGGAACTGGAATGGCTGGACAACACTTCCTGCCGTATCACATTTATGTGGATCCCCAGCCACATGGGAATAATGGGAAATGAAAAAGCCGACGCCGCAGCGAAAACTGCGGCATGTGAGCGAAACCCAATCCCAATTTCTGTACCCGCTCGAGATCTGAAGGCAGTCATTTCCAAATACGTCCGCAATACGTGGCAGCACATGTTCGACCAACAGGTTCACGCTTTCAGGGAAATCAAGCCCCAACTGGGTGATTGGGAATCCTCCCATCGCCGAAGCCGCTTCCAGGAAGTCGCCCTTTGTAGGCTTCGGTTGGATCATACATATGCAACACACTCGTTGTACTTGACGCGTAGGGATGTCCCACGGTTTGGTAGATGCGGGGACCGGTTGTCTGTTGAACATGTGCTCGTCTCATGCCGGCGCCTTGAGACGGAGAGGCGACGATTTTTTCCTCCAGCGCCCCTTCATCGGTTACTCGGTCGAGACCCATGTGGTGATCTTGGAGATATGCTCGCATTTTTAGCACACATTGACTTTGACGTTATTTTCACTCACCCCTCAGTGTAAGTGCGCCAGTGATACTACCTGTTATTAGTTGACAACATACTTATCGCGTCGTCGCAAGGGTAGATAACCGTCATCGAGTGGGCGCAAAATGGCCCTGATGCCGACGCGCCCTTAAAAACCAAATCACCACCGAACCACCACTTTCGACGAGGAGGAAAATGCTTGGCATACATTATGCCTTGAAGCTGCGGCAGTTCCCACTTCACCCGACATTTTCTGCAATATTTTCGCGGTTTGCGGTAAGTTTTCTTCGTCATGGGCCGCAGCAGCACGCTTTAACTTTTTGTTCCCGAATGAGAGCGTTGTTGCTTGAGAGCGGAATTCCTCTTCGGGGTGTAAGGCAAGTAAGCCACCTGGCTTCTCCTCCTTGGCAAATGACCACACCCTTCATTGACACCTCGCTTACGGAAATGAGGAAAAAAACGTCACACCACACCTATTGAGATCCAGGGCAGTTGAGCTTTTGGCGTGTTACGAAGGATATGCCCTGACATACACAGACGGATCCAAAACCTCGGATGGCGTGGGTTGTGCTTTTGTCAGCGGTTCCGTCGCTCGATCGTTCTCGTTACCGGCCCACTCGTCAGTTTTTACGGCGGAATTGGTTGCAATTACCAAGGCGATATGTTTCATAGAAGTGGGTGAAGAATCTTCACACGCCATTTTTACAGATTCACTGAGCAGTCTCTCTGCACTGAAGTCTTTTTATCCATCATGTCCCCTTTTACAGGACATTTTATCACGCCCGACACAATTGAATCGGGTTGGAAAGAGGGTTGCGCTGTGCTGGATCCCTAGTCACGTCGGTATCGTGGGCAACGAACTGGCTGATGCCGCTGCTAAGCGAGCAGTGGTAGCACCATATACCCGGTTTTTGCCTTTCCCTGCCAGAGATTTTTACCCGGCAGTCAAGACCTTCCTGAGAAGCAAATTGCAGCGTTGTTGGAACCAGGTGGGTGGCAATAAGCTCAGGGCGATAAAGACAGAGTTGGGCTTGTGGTTGTCATGCTCTCGCAGTGTGCGGTGGGAAGAGGTGGTTTTATGCAGGCTGCGCATTGGGCATACTTATGCCACCCATGGCCATCTGTTGCATGGAGCCGACAGACCCCTATGCCAGCGGTGTGGTGCCGTCCTCACTGTCCACCATGTCGTTGTATCATGTCCATGCCTCATCGAAGAACGACGACGTCACTTTGGCTCACAGGCTTCGATCCTGACGATTAACGATGTGCTTGGTGACAGTTCCTCCTTTCTTGATCCCAAACAGCTCTTTTCGTTTTTAAAAGATATCGATTTTCAAGTCATTTTCGCACCGTACTAATTAAGTAACAGCATAGTTGTAGGCGCAAAATGACCACTGCAGTCGACGCGCCCGAAAACTCCAATGAACAACAAAATTGCCGCCACCTTACTGCAACGAGAGCGCAGTTTTTTGGACACCACGTCCAGAGTCGCACGCTATGTGACTTTTTAGGGGATTCTTCGAACGCCGTCGAGTTTGGTAAAGTGCTCCAGTTTCTTCGTGCTATAGATTTCCCAGTAATCTTTTCATCATGATGCGAGGGCTGATCATCAAGGCTTTACAGGGTGACCTGATTGATGCACTCCTCTGATTGACGCCTCTGCATAAATCAATAGTTATGGGCGCTGCATGACCTTCAGCAGTCGATGCGCCCTTAAACCCCGAATCATCATCAGCTTTATGCAGGTTACGTATTGGGCATACGTATGCCACATATGGCCATCTGTTGCATTGACCCGACAGAGCCCTATGCCAGCGGTGTGGCGCCGTTCTCACTGTCCACCATGGCATTGTATCCTGTCCGTGCCTCATCGAAGAACGACGGCGTCACTTTTGTCCGCAGGCTTCGCCCCAGACGATTAGCGATGTGCTCGGGGACAGTTCTTCCTTTCTTGATTCCAAACAGATTTTTTCGTTTTTAAAAGATATTGATTTTAAAGTCATTTTCACGCCACACTAATTAAGTAAAAGCATCGTTATGGGCGCAAAATAACCAATGGTGTCGGCGCGCCCAAAAACCCTAATTAACAAAACGACGTCACACTGGTCTCCCTGCACGCAGGTGACCGGTGCTCGGTGTGTCCCGTGTCCGGCTGCGGCAAGCTGCTGGCCAACCGGAAGCGGCGTAGCGACCACCTGTCCTGGCACCGCGGTGAGACGGTGTGCCTGCTCTGCCAGCACCGCTTCTCCACCAAGTTCAACCTGCGCACCCACATGAAGGTGAAGCACGGCCTGCAGCCGGCGACGTCAGCGGCGGAGCGGCCGCCAGACCTGCCGCCGCTGCTTTAGTGGTCCGGGAGTAGGCCGCTACTGTGGTGGTCTGGTCCGGGGCAGGCCCGCTGCTGTGTTGATTTGGTCCGGGGCAGGCCCGCTGCTGTGGTGATCGTGTCCGGGGCAGGCCCGCTGCTGTGGTCAGTGCCGGTCTGTGCTCAGGCCGCTGCTGTGATGGTCTGGTCACGGGAGGCGCGCTGCTGTGGTGGTCTGGCCAGGGGCAGGCCCGCTGCTGTGGGGGTTCGGGCTTAGACCGGCTTCCGCGATTGTTTGGTCCAGGAGAGATCCCTGGTTGCTCCTGGGGGGTGGCGAGTGAATACACGAGTCCGAGCAGCAATGGGAGATGCTGATCAGATGCCGCCACTCAGTTTTTCCCTTACCGTTGCGGCTGAGCTCATGTTGGTGGCGTCGGCCTACCGCCACATGGCGCCCCGCACCTGTCCGCAGGCGCTGTAGCGTCGGTTGTAGTGGTGGCGCGGCCGGTATTTCAGTACTGTTCGAGCGATGCCATTGTTTTCTGGAAGTGAGCGAAAGTAGTTCGGTGTTTTACCGGCGTTGCGAGTTTGCTATGTTAAGACCGGCGGTCATGGCGGATGTTCCTGTTTGCCATTAAAGCGTGCCCGCCCTTCCTGCCAAGATGGGCGGCAGGCGACACCATATAACCTAAGCAGCCAAGTGCTTCGTAGATCCCCAATGACGACGACGGCGACCATATGTATATCTTCCTCACTAAGGACTCATACGAACACACGTTGATTAGCTTATGAATCCTGTATCACTCGCGACGCGTTTCATACCCCGCAGGGGCACCGGCTTCGGCCGGTGTAGGGGACTAGCGCCCCCTCGGGTCCCAGCTCCGGTAACGGGTGGACAGCGCAAGCTGTTCCTTTCAGGGCGTAGCGACCCTGCCGGTACGTGAGCTCCTGCTCCTTGTCCCGCCCGCTCCGCTTCCCATTATCCTTTCTCCGTCATCCGGCCCTATCACCACTCCTCATCCTCGTTTTATCGGGGTCGCCGTGCCCCCTCGCCCACGTCCCCGGGTTGATCGGATCCTGGTGGCTGAGGGGCGCGTCGTGCGGGTCAGTCACGGCGCGTCCCAACACTCCACTTTGGCCAGAATATCCGGGGGCGTGGGGGGCCCGTGGGGCCCCACACGGGTCTAGCGGCTTGTCGCTCGCGTTGCGGTTGGGTGCTCCTTGCGGGTTTCCGCTTGGGGCGCTTGGCCGCGCGCAGCGGCTTAAGGGGTCAAGGGGCGGCGGCGCTGAACCACGGTCAGGACGGGGAGGGGTCTCCCTGGTTACACCTGGCCGTGTGGGAGGCGTCGTTCGCCCTGTATAGCACCGGGGTAGCCCTGGCGGAACCACCACCCCCTGGGTGAGTGGGCCGTCCCCCAGTTGGGCTCCGAGGTGGGTGGGGAGCCTCGGTGCCGAATGTTACAACCTTACACGCATGGCAACTATAAACTCAAAAAACACCCGCACCCCGAAAGGGGGGCGGACTGAGGCTACAGGTGGTAGTGCGTCAGCGCCTACCCCTCGGATCTTGATTTTTCGAAGCGCCGAGAAGCCGTTGTCGTCCCTTTCGCCCTTTCAAAGGCGAAATGGGTGTGATCGGTTTGGAAAGGTGCTCCGATGCGATAAGCTCAAGGACGGCGGGATCGAGGTTGAGTTCCAGAACGGAGAGGAGGCCAAACGGGCCAGGACCTCGGATAGGTTTGTGTACTGTGTACGGGATGCGGAGGGGAAAAAGGATGTGTCAGTGGCGATGGCTGTGGAGGTCCATAGGACAAAGAACTCGTCAAAGGGTATCATGAACTGTTTTGACCTGAGAGATGTCAGTGATGAGGAGATAATCGATGGTCTCGCTGAGTTCGGGGTAACGGATGCTCGCCGCATCAAGGTGCGCAGAGGTGCGGAGCTGGTCCCCACGAACAACATTGTGCTGACTTTTAATCGTCCTGACATACCATCTGAAGTAAGGGTAGGCTATGTGAAGGTAAAGGTGCGCCTTTTTATTCCGAACCCCATGAGATGTTTTAAGTGCCAAATGTTTGGACATACGAGAGATTTCTGCCGCAACCAGCCAGCATGTGGCAAGTGTGCTTCTCCGGAGCACCCGAGCGATCAGTGCACTGCAGCGAACCCATGGTGTGTGAACTGTGGGAAAAACCAGAAACCTCACTCCACTTTTGATCGCGCATGCCCGGCGTACGCCAGAGAGAAGGAGATCATCGCACTAAAAACCACGAAGAACATCTCATTTCGGGAAGCAAGGGACTTATATGAACTGAGCCACCCTAAGACATCATATGCCACGGCGGCCAAGGCCCATGTCCCACCTGAGGTCTCCTTAGACCAGATGACTGGATCGCAGTTCATTAAACTGCTTACATCGTTCGGGCTGTCGGTTGTACCGGCGTCTCAGGTGCACGCCACAGCATCGGCAACACTGTCGTCCCCCGTCTCGTTGGCACCTTGTGCCCCCTCTGAGGCACAGGCCAGCGCGCCAGTTGTTACCTCGCCGCCCCACCCCACACCAGCCGAAAGCAATGAGTGGACCGTGGCCCGCCGGGGCCGAACCTCTCGGTCTTCGCCAGTAAGCGCGCGATCACCGGCTTCACAGCCGTCCTCCCCAGGAGCATCACGTCCTACAACCCTGAGTGAGACGATGGGTCGGAAACTGGACAACCTTGAGCGCCAAGAGGCGGAGAGACGGGCGCGCGAGGCAAAGCGTGCACGCCTTCAGGAGCAGGAGAGGGCAAAGGCAGCCAGTCGGCTGTCGGGTGCGGGCCCCGGGCCTGCTCCCACGGGGGAGGTAGTCCCACCTCCCCGAAAGCGTGTGGAAGCTCCCTCAGGCCCCTCCGACTCGCGGAGAGACCCGTCTATGGGTGCTTCACCACCACCGCCGCCTAGGACCACGGCGTCGCCGGCGCCGGCTCAGTTTAGGACGGGGCGTCCGGAAAAGCGTGGACCGCCGGGGCCGATTTCGCCAACAGATGGCGGTAGTCCCCGGATCCGACCCAGGATCCGCCCGATCTCTTCGGGTTCTGACGACAAAACCCACAACCATGGGCCAGGCTCTAGCGCTGCTGAGTTCTTTTAAAACCTTACAGTGCTTTTAAAGCCTCCTCATTCAGTCAGTTTTACAGTGGAACTGTAGAGGTGTAAGGTCAAGCACCCAGGACTTGCAGACAGTTTTAAGCGCGCACTGCCCGGTAGCCGTGTGTCTCCAGGAGACCAAGTTGGCGCCTGATGCGGCCTTCAGCCTGAAAGGGTACACTACCTTCCGCACTGACATGCCAATAGATACCGTTGCTTACGGTGGCGTTCTTTTGGCTGTACACCAAAGCGTACCTACGCGGCGTCTGGTGTTGAGAACAGACTTGCAGGCTGTCGCAGCAACGGTGAATTTCAACCGCCGCACTATAACTGTCTGCTCTCTCTACTTGCCACCTGGGGTTTCATTTCCATCTGGAGGACTACGAGAGTTAGTCTCTCAACTCCCTCCCCCTCTACTCGTTTTAGGTGATTTTAATGCACATCACACTGTGTGGGGGTGTGCTTCCACGAACACTCGCGGGAGGCTATGTGAGGCTCTCGTGCGTGACGAAGGTCTGTGCGTTTTAAATACAGGATCAAGAACGCATTTTACATTGCCATCCGGACAATCGTCGGTGCTAGACCTGAGCATTTGTAGTCCGCAGTTGGTACCACACTTCACCTGGGATGCTTCAGAGGACCCCCTTGGAAGTGACCACTTTCCGGTCTGGGTTCGGTACCGTGGTGGTACTGTTCTTGGTACTCGACCTCAGCGTTGGAATTTCAAGAAGGCGGACTGGAGGGGATTTGAGACTCGCCTGGACGAAACGTTTTCCAACGATTTCGACTCTGCAACTCCGACTACGGAGGAATTTACGTCTCTCGTGTTGGATGCGGCGAAAGGATGCATTCCGCGCACCTCCGGATGCCCTCGTCGTACCCCTGTACCTTGGTGGAGCGACGAGTGTCGCGACGCTATTCGTGCACGTCGGAGAGCTTTTAGGGCTTTTGACCGGCACAGCAGCACATTAAACCTCTTGGCTTTCAGGCAAGCACGCGCGGCCGCACGCCACACTATACGAGAGGCGAAACGTGCATCATGGCGCAGCTACGTCAATTTACTAAATCGCCACACGCCGACGTCACAGGTATGGGGCCGCATTAAGCGAATCGCTGGACTGCATCCAGCAGTTTCTCTTCCCGTACTGCGAGTGGGAAGTCAAGACATCACCCACCCAAGTGATGTGGCAGAAGCCATTGGGGAAGCCCTGTCAGACCGTTGCCGAAATGGCACCTGCGATCCGCGGTTTTTGCGGCACAGGGCACGATGTGAAACTTCGCAGGTTAATTTTTGTACAGATGACGTCCTGACGTACAACAAACATTTCACTATGATGGAGCTTCAAGCGGCCATCCGCTCGCTGCGTAGTGTAGCGGAGGGGCCCGACCTCATCCACAATGATATGATACGGCATTTTCCTCCCCGTGTACTACGAGCGTTGCTGGCAGTTTTCAACTGCATATGGGTGTCAGGTAACTTCCCGCCAATCTGGCGAGAGGCAATAGTAGTGCCTATTTTAAAGCCCGGGAAAAGTGGGACGAACGCTCTTGACTACCGCCCGATCGCCCTCACCTCTTCGCTTTGTAAGCTCATGGAAAGAATGGTGAATGTGCGGCTCTCGTGGACTTTAGAACGCCAGAACTTTTTCACGAATGCTCAGTGCGGATTCCGTAAGAACAGGAGCACGATTGACCACATCTTAACTCTTGATACCGCAGTGCGAGCCGGATTTAGTAGCAAGCGTCATACCGGCGCCATCTTCTTTGACATAGAAAAAGCTTATGACACCACATGGAGACATGGAATTATGATGAAGTTACTCGATTGTGGCATCCGTGGTCACATGGGAAAGTTTTTACAAAACTTTCTGACTGACAGATTCTTTCGGGTGCGTGTTGGTTCTTATCAATCCGACAGGTATCCACAGGACAATGGTGTGCCTCAGGGCAGCGTATTAAGTGTCATTCTTTTCGCAGTGATGATAAACGACATAGGGGACACGCTTCCACATGGGATCAGCCGTTCTCTGTTTGTAGACGACTTTGCTGTTTGGTGTAGCTCATCGACCACTCGCACGACGGAGCGACAGCTGCAGCTGGCTGTCACACGTCTGGAGAAGTGGAGTGTGCTCAACGGTTTCCGGTTTTCTACATCGAAGACAACTGCAGTTCATTTCTGTCGTCGTCGCCGTCACTGTCCTGATATGGAAATCAGGCTGTATGGGGAACGCGTCGCCAATGAGAATACCGCGAAATTTCTCGGTATACGCTTTGACCGACGCCTAACATACCGTGAGCACATCAGAAATCTCCGCGACAAATGTTTAAAATCTCTTAACATCCTAAGGTGCGTGGGAC